AAACTACCAATGTAGAATTTTCACTTAATCAGCATAAAATCAGTGTCAGTTTTGTACAGTGTGGATGGCACTTAGGCTGAAAGCTCTGAACTAACCCCATCCCCAGTACTCTCAGCCAATCACTGTTATCCAAGTAAATAACACTGATAGTCCTGTTCAGTTTGACTAAAATCTGGTGGGGGACCTCCTAGAGACAAGCAACAACATTGTCAACATTGCTCTGAACAGACATGTTCTGCCTGAGCTACATATGCAAGCGCGGTTTTCTCCAAATTATTTGTTTTTACCTACATTGTTGCCACACTATTACCTTAGGGAAACAAGCTAAAAACAATAAACCCACACTCCGTGGCCTCTCTCAAGCGGCACTCAAAATAGCGGCTCAGCTTAACCCCTTAAGGACAGAGCTTCAGAAGCTTGTCTTTCACTTAATGACAACAGCATTTTTTGCTGTTTGCGTTCAACTGCAATTTGCATTTTACTAATTTATTGCACCGACACATATTATATACAGTTTTTTAAAGGACAGAAAGGGCTTTAATTTGATGTAACACACACATATATATATATATAAATGCTTATTTATTATAAAAAAAATACAGAAATGTGCAAAAAAAATGAAAATGTTTGTGTGTTTTTTACAGTTTTTAGTGCAGGTTAAGGAAAGTAATTAAAAATAAATTCATTTAGTTGTTCTGATTTACAGAATATATAATGTGTCTGGGATTTTCAGTTTTTTTGTGGTAGTTACAGGTCAAAATTGCCACACAAAAGTATATATTTATATAAAATAGACATCACAGGCTATTTACCTAAGGTTGTTTTGACACTTTCTACGTAGCCATTTCACCGCCAACCTTTGCTAAATATTGGAGTAAAATTGTGGTTTTTTTTTTTGTTTTTGGCACACAAACTTATAACAAAGAACTTCTTGTTTGTATTTTGTAAAGTTGTGTGCTATTCCTTTACAAAGTTTTATTTTGTGTTCAGTTACATCTGCTGAGTAAAATGACACCCCCATTGTATGTCTTTGGCACTATTTCGTAAAGCTACAGTGCCATATAGGAGACCTGTCCTTTTCAGTATTCACAGTAGAAATTTGAGAGACAGATTTATTGAGTCTATGCATTTGGGGTATTATAACAGTTTGACTGTTCAAAAAAAACCCCACAAAGGCCTACCATTTGTAAAATTAGACACTCCAGGGTATCTCATAAGGTGCATATTGTGCCTTAACATGCCCCCATTTTTTTCACCAATAGATGCCAAAGTATGTGGTAAAAAATAATTTTGTGCGTATTTTACATATAGATTGCATTTTTGCTGGGCATTTTGTATATTTCACATGTGCCACTAAGTTCAAACCCCCCAAATTATGTTCAGCTAAGTCTTCTGAGTAAAATGACACCCCCATTGTATGTCTTTGGCACCATTTCGTGAAGCTACAGTGCCACAAAGGAGACCTGTCCTTTTCAGTACTCACAGTAGAATTTTGAGAGACGGATTTAATGAGCCTATGATTCCATTTGGGGTATTATAACAGTTTGACTGTTCAAACAAAAAACCACAAAGGCCTAGCATTTGTAAAAGTAGACACTCCAAGGTATCTCATAAGGTGCATATTGTGCCTTAACATGCCCCCATTTTTTCACCAATAGATGCCAAAGTATGTGGTAAAAAATAATTTTGTGCATTTTTTACATATGGATTGCATTTTTACTGGGCGTTTTGTATATTTCACATGTGCCACTAAGTTCAAACCCCCCAAATTATGCTCAGCTAAGTCTTCTGAGTAAAAGGACACCCCCATTGTATGTCTTTGGCACTATTTCGTGAAGCTACAGTGCCATATAGGAGACCAAGCCATATCCGTTTTTACCAAACTTTGAATTTTGACGCTGGGCCTTTGTGCAATTAACAAGCATCTTAGCAGGTTTTAAATTCAAACTACCCCACAAAGGCCTACAATTTCTTAAAGTAGACCCCAGGGTATTTCAAAAGGTGTATTCTAAACCTTAGTGTAGGATCATTTTTTTGTTAGTTTGTACCAAGTCTAGCTGCAATTAGCATTTTTTTCTGCCTTTTTGACACACACTTGGAGATGTTACTGTATATTTTGCTATCCTTGTGTGTGGTACGGCAGTATAACATCTAATATGTTGCTCAGCTGTCATCTTAGTGCAACGATACCCCCATGTGTACCTTTCTCAGGGTTATGTGGATGTTGAAGGGGCACATTGGAGATACACCACTTCCATATTTTTCAAAAGTGGATGCTGGGCCCAAGTCTCATTTTAGCAGCTCAGGACTGCAAATTACCTCTCAAAGGCCACATATATTTTTAAGTATAAGCAGCTCATCAATTCAAATTATGAACAAGTGCATACTATTTGCTGTGAAAAGGGGGAATAGTTGGGGTAAACTTATCCGGGAGTAGTACCCAGTCATCAGCGTCCCGGGCAAAGCTGTCATGGATTCCAAAACCAAAACACAGACAGACCACAAAGAGAGAGAACACAGAGAGAGAAACTTGGAATACCGGTCCTTAGAATGGACGGGCTATACAAGCAGAGAATTGTCAAGGTACAAGCCGAGGTCAAAGGAGTAAAGAGAAACGGAACAACGATAGGACAAGCCGAGGTCAAGGATCAGAGAAGACAGGATAAGCGGGACACAAAGCCAAGATTCGGTAACCAATCAGACAGATGACTTAAAATCACACCCCAAAACTAGCAGTGATCAAGCAGCAGGGAAAGGGTTAATTTTTTTTTAATAAAGGGGAAAGGGATAAGGAACTTTTAATAGAACTTAACTATTCTTCTGGGACACAATGTTGCAACGATCCGTCTCTCTCCACTTCACAAACCCACAAGTGGTGGAGGGGGGCGGATCAGATATCCCAGCAGCATTGTGACCGCTGTGACTGGCTGTCACAGCGATCACATGGGCTGGGATATCAGGATTTGCTGCAGCAACAGCGTTAACCCCGTGATCGGGGGTTAATTTTAACGCGTGACGGCTCGTCATTAACGCTTTCCCCTCGTCATTAAGGGGTTAATGAGTACTCCTCTTCCGCAGAGGGGTAATCTTTCAATACATTGTAGGTTATTCCCTGCAGGTGGGCCTGGCTTCCTCCATCCTCTGATCCCATTGTACAGCGCTATGGAATCTGATGGCGCTATATAAATAATACATTTATAATAATTTAATAATAATAATAATAATAATGAAAACACAAATATGTCTGCAATGAAGAGTGATATTAACTCTCTGTTGCGCCACATCCATGCACTGTTTCAGGTGGATCTCTATTCTAGGAGCTACGCACCTTAATTAGAATTAAGGCCACAAAGGAAGACACGCTGGACCTCATGACACAATAGGCTTCAGTAGGCTTCTAAGCAAGACTGTCTATCGCAAACACAAGTGGACATGCCAAATCGTACTGCACAGAACAACCAGAGTAGCTGTAAAAACATCCAAATATGGGGCAAAATATTGGTTTATTACAGTTGTGAGCATTGCCTTATCTTTTTCTTTCTCCCTTCAATTGTCAGGCCTTGCCACTATCAGTTTTTCTGTTTCTTGTGCAATGTTTTTTCCCTAAACAGTTATGTCCATTTTCAGTGATATTAATGTCCCCTATTGTTATTATTTTTATACCAAATATTATATTGTACTATGCTGGTACCTCTGTGTTCAAGCTGGTTCTCTCTCGAACCTAGATATTTTGTTCTCTTGAAATCTCATGTTTGTCTTGCTCCATGTAAAAATAAAGAATTTAAAAACTAAATAAATCTTCTGAATAAGCTTCAATGTGTAGGAGTGTCTTGACTAATGTTCTGTAGAGACTAAGCCTTGCATTAAAGTTACACTACATTGCCCATGAATACAACCATTACGCAGAGGGTGAGCCATTAATTTCAGGGACAAGCCTTCTATTATTATTACTCGTTTGTGAGCAACACTGCAAAAGTGGCCCAAAAGCTTACTTTAGAGAAGTGTGCATACCATGACGTACACATCTCTCTCTCACTGTATTGTTACCTAAAGAATATCCAAATAACACATAGGAAGTGCACACATCTCCCACCAATTGGAAGACACCACCCACTCCTCTCAAATAAAAAACATTGAATCAATGCCAACAATGTGCCACTCACATTTCTTTGCAAAGTGATGGTCATATTTCCTGTAGTCAAAGGGTTAAACTAATGAAATAATGTTTTTTTTTTTACATTTTGACAGCTATTTTAATATTTCATGAGTCCAATATATTAGAAGGTAGAGAGAGGGGTGGGATTAAATGCTGTAGTAGGAGTCTGGCACCCTACTATCTTAAAACATAATTTCCATGCTACAGCCCAAAGAAAAAAAGAAAATCCCTATACGTAAAATATTACAATGAAAACATACATACCGTATATACTCGAGTATAAGCCGAGTTTTTCAGCACATTATTTGTGCTGAAAAACCCCAACTCGGCTTATACTCGAGTCAGTCTGTATTATGGCAATTTACATTGCCATAATACAGACTGGGGGCTGGCAGAGCTGTTACTTACCTCTCCTGCAGCTCCTGCCAGCTCTCTCCTCCTCCGCGCCGGTCCGGTCAGCACCTCGGTCAGCTCCCAGTGTAAATCTCGCGAGAGCCATAGGGTCATAGTGCGGCTCTCGCGAGACTTACAGTGTGAGCTGAGAGAAGAGCTGCACGGGCCGGCGCGGAGGAGGAGAGAGCTGACAGGAGCTGCAGGAGAGGTAAGTAACAGCTCTGATAGCCCCCCTCCTCCCCCCACTGAACTGCCAATGCCACTGGACCACCAGGGAATGAGAGCCCCCCTCCCTGCCATGTATCAAGCAGGGAGGGGGGACGAAAAAATAAATAAAATATAAAAATAATAATAACAAAATAATAAAAAATAATAATAATATAACAAAAAAATTAAAATAATAATAATATAACAAAAAAAAATTAAAATAATATTACATTTTTTTTTTATAAAAATGCCCACCCCCCACCAAGGCTCTGCAACACAAACACACACTGCATAACACACACACACACACTGCACTCATACACACACACTACATTTATGCACACACACTGCACTCATACACAAACACTGCACTCATACACACACTGCATTCATACACACTGCATTCATACACACACTGCACTCATACACAAACACTGCATTCATACACACACACTGCATTCATACACACACACTGCATTTATACACACGCACTCATACACACACTGCGCACTCATACACACACACTGCATTCATACACACACACTGCATTCATACACACTCACTGCACTCATACACACACACTGCACTCATACACAAACACTGCATTCATACACACACTGCATTCATACACACACACTGCATTCATCATATACACACACTGTAAATAAATATTCAATTAATATAATTTTTTTAGGATCTAATTTTATTTAGAAATTTACCAGTATCGGCTGCATTTCCCACACTAGTCTTATACTCGAGTCAATACGTTTTCCCAGTTTTTTGGGGTAAAATTAGCGGCCTCGGCTTATATTCGGGTCGGCTTATACTCGAGTATATACGGTACATTTATTTTTTTTCTTTTCATTGTGAGTATATCTAAAAACAGCTTGAAAAAACTGCAGATCTTCTGTCTCTGCAAACCTTTCCCTCCGAACCACGGTCAAATGTCAGTAGAAATGGGCACTTTATAAATTAACTTTGTTACACCTTCCCAGGCTGTCAGTCAGACAACCAGTCCTGTTACTTCCTGCTAGTTGAGTTCAGTGGAGCTAAACTCAAGAGGAAGCAATTGCCCAGAGCAACAAATGTCCCTAGTTATATTTAGTCACAGTACTTAGCTGACCTTTAATTGAATATTGGATCATTAGTTAACATTACTTGTACACGTCACCCAGTCAGGGGAGGTGAGTGTGGTGTTTGTTCTGACCACACATTTGCATGCCTCCAAACATTGGAATGAGAATGGGTGGGCAGACCTTTTCGGTGGGCATCTTTAATAAAGCAACTTGCACCACTGGCGACATCCATAATGGATTGGCCTGCCTCGAAAGCGGACAGGTCCACCCACTGAAGGTGGTGTATCAGACACACCAGGATAATAGTTTCCTGGCCAACTCACAAGCTACAGGACTATGCATAGAGAACTGCTTAAGGTGCTCATGATCCTAGTGCCCACCGCACAGCACAGGCGCTCCAAAAGTGGGGCAGTTGGAAAGTTTGCCTTGTGGTATAGCTACACTGCTTTTATTCCTGGGGAAACTGTATCAAGGACATTAGTAAAAGAGTGTAGTTCAGCAATATTATATGTAGTTTATATTTCCAGTTACTTAATAATAAAAAAATAGATACATATGTTTGACATCAATGAAAGACTCATTATTAAAACGAAATAAAGAGGTTATTTTACACAAAGATGTTCAAAAAAAGCTCTGAGGCACCAGCCCAAACCAATGTCACTTGGAAACTCAAATGATATATTCTCCCTTATTGATGAATTCAATTCCATTAGCTGCTAGCTTTTCCATTCATTTTTTTAGTACCAGAATAAGTTTTCATTTTGAAGAATAAAATATTTCTGCAAAACATTATTTGGTGGTTAATAAGCGGAAAGGAAATCCTAATTTGTACAAATATACCTTTTTCCCAAAGATTGCAAGCTAACTGCTACTTCTCCATTGGTCACAATATGTTGTATACACAGGGTTAAACTCTCCCCCCCACCCCCCCAAGAGCTCACACCAAACTAGGATGGAATAAAAACTTCATCAAAACTTTTGACTTGAGAAACTTGTTTTAAATGTTAAAATCTACACCTCAGCACCACAATACACATAATATGCAAGTACAAGTTTACATAAATATATGGTGTAGATTGGATTAGCTGTATTAGTGCAGTAGACAAGATGCCAAAACTGTAATATTTTGGCACCATAAATATATTTATATATATATTATTCTTTACAAACAAAAATCTAAATGTTATAGTTTGAAACTTTCAATGCCTTTATTTTTTTAAAGAATGAAAGTATGACATTCAGGTGATACAGAAGTAATATTTTCATGGCAAAGAATCCCCTAGGAATTCTCCGGACTATTATCTTGGAAAGACCTTTCCTCGTTCCAGGAAACGATTATAAAGAAACACTTTTTCTAGGAAATGATTCATCGGCCTCAGTCCGGCTGGACAGTGGGAGGGGTATGCAGGGACTTGCAATTAGTGAATCAATGGACCTTTGATGCTGGTGAATCAGGGTCCATAAGCAAACAAACCACACAAGGTTTTATTGAGCAAACTGTGTCAAGCCAGGAGAATTGGTTACAGATTTTCTTCTAATCGGGATTTTTTTTTTTTTTCACGAGATCAAAGCCTTGAACATGATTGAGAACAGTGAAGATGTGGCACTTCTAATAGTCTTTTGCAACACATGAAAGTGACATTTACTGCAAGAGGAAAGCATAAAACGGATATCCAAAGAGATTTTTTTGTGGGTCAGAAAGGGGAATCTTTGAACTGTGATCTCCTACTCTGAATGTCTAGTGTCACATTATACTTCTTTGTTGACATTTTACTATTTTGCTGCATTTGATGGCAAAATTGATTTTACATGCTAAACCATGTCACATCCCTCGCGCCCACCCCCCCCCCACACACATGGCATTCACTTCAGACATTCCTAAAATGAGCCCAGTGACACATTCTTATGTTTCAATACAAGTTAATATAAATACTAAAAACTCTAACTAGCCTCTAGACTGGAAGCTTGGTTTGGCAGGGTCCTCATCAACCTATTGTTCCTGTAATATTTTGTAATTGTCTCATTTATTGTTAAATTTACCCCTCTAAAATATTGTAAAGCGCTGTGGAAAAAGTTGGCGCAATAGAAATGCAAATAATAAAAACATTATCAATAATTAGAGTGTGTGGGGACAGCGTGGCTCTGCAAACACCAGGCCTGTAAAGTAAACCTTTACCGTGGGCAGTTGTCCACGTAATAATGGATAGGATGGGTCCTTTACAACTAATGACAGCAAACTGACAATAACATGGAGACCCAGTTCTAGATTATGAACTATATACGCCAACTATTAAGAATTATGAAAGTCAGTAGATTCTTTTTTTTTTTTTTTAAATGAATTTTTTTTTTTTTTTAGTAACTGTGGCAAAATGTACTCGTTCCATACTACAGCCTCTCTCCCTCCTTCCATCTCATGTTTCCGCACTGAAGACAAAGTAGCTCAGATTCATTCTATTACTAAAGGAGGTGGGGGTGGAACATTGCCAGCAAACTGTGGGAATTCACAGGGGACAATGCATTAATGATGATGAATAATAGCACAAATTTCATTGCAAGAATTGTGGGTTTCTTCTGAAAGCTGTAATTTGAGTGTCTGATTACATTTAACATTCTCTTGTTTAAAGTAATCGTAAGTTGTATGTCAACAGAATCAGTCTGTGATGTGAAATTGTGATTACAAAGGAATTGCTCAATAAGGGGATGACAATGTATGATTATATAGTTTTTCCTCTTACGTCCATACAATTTGTAATATTTACTGTTCTGTATTACCTCTTTGCTTGGCTGCTGGGCTTTTTACATCATACATTTTCATAAAACATTAAGTGTTTAATTTGTGAGGTTAAGAAGTTTACATTTCTTATTTATGACATACTTTTATCAGCTGCATCTAAACCTTTTCTCTAACCCTATCCTGCACTGCAGATTAAGACTCAATGTATCCATGTTTATAATCACTAGTAGCGTTGATTAATTAGCATTATATTTACACAATGAAGTAATTGGTAGTAGCATCAAATCACTTCTATGCGTATAAATATGTGTTACACATATACTCAGTATTAACATGTAAAAATGCAATAAACGACAATTTACTTAAGCGTCTTCTTTAAACAGAGACCTTTCCTTAAAAATTAACCTTTAAAAAAACCACTAAGATAAATATGTAGTAGGTATAGAGAAGATTTATTTAATTTATTTGTCAGTCTTAGCAGGTATTTTGGAGAAATATAACCTAGTGATGACTTTACAGTATATATATATATATTTATTATCACCTCTAGTATGTGAGCACATTTGAGCAGGGCCTTCAATATCCTCTGTTCCTGTGCGTTCATCTCGGCTTGTTGCAATCACGTTTGTTAGTCCACCTATTGTACAACGCTACGGAATTAGTTGGCGCTTTATATACAATAATAATATACTGCCTGCAGTTTTTTACGCATATTAGAATGGAGACCCATGAGAGCTTACCTGTCAGATATGTATAAATGCTACTTCTCAGAACATATTCAGTTGCAGGAGGGAACGGGTTAGAGATGTTATGAAAATAGCAGAAAGAACCTTAATAGTGGAACATATCTGTTCTGTGGCAGAAGAAGGGATGTCTGAGCAGCAATAATATCCCTTTTGTGCCCATGTGTGCAGGTGATGAGGGTTGGATAGGTAGACCTTTCTGCATTGTGCTTACAAAGTTGGTTTTAAAGGTCTTACTCCCAGAGCTTAGAGTGGAAAAAGTAGGTTAATGAAGAAATATTACTGTACGCTTAGAAATAAACAGAACAATTATTATTATACATTTATTTACATTTCCAATTGTACAAAGTGTATTTATACATTTACAAATTACCCTGTCCAATTAATTTACTAAGAAAAAAAACATTGCATCTTTGGTGTGTTTCAGGTGATTGTCACTGCTCCAACTCTTAGAAATGTACTTCCTATAGTGCTGACATGAAATACTGCTTGCGACCTTCCCGAGACAGACAAAGCTTTTCAACTTAGTTATCTCATAATATTGCACAGGACCAGTATGGAGAAGGGAACGGGTTAACTTCTCAGATATCAAATGCAAACTTCCTAATTAAAGGTGTACAACCTGATGCCACTGACTAAACCGACTGTGGTTTGTCTTAGTAGTGTTCAATTTTACAATGTTCACTTTAGTGTCAATGCACATATGCAACTTTCCGGCCCTCAATGTGTCCAATATCAGGGCTATATTTCCACGGAAGACAGTTTTTCCCATCCCTGTGTTCTATCTTGCAGGTTCGACAAATGTGATTTATCCGCAGTCTGTGTGGGACAGGTAAATACTGCCAGCAAGCTGTGGGGCCTGAATCAATTAGGAAATCAGTGTTCTATAAAAAAAAAAAAACTACATTCTTTGTAGTATTATCTTTTCAACAGCTCCATTCAAGACTTGCTCAACGGCTAAAGAGAATCCCGGCTGCATCTCAATGATGAATGAAAGGCACAGCTGCGGACAAACTAAGCCTTAGTGTGATAGGAAGCTACATCAAACACAGGGATTGTGTCTGTGTGCTACCTCCGTTTTCTCATGCAGGTCTCCAATCTTC